AAAGCAGATGAGCTTAACTTAGAAGAAAATGAGGTTATCTTAGAAGAAAAGCAATTTCCCATGTTAGTCTTAATCTCCTCTGTTGTTTCCACTAATGTTGTTCACCTACCACTTCACAACCCAGATACCGCGACTATCAGTTCTCTCCTGACATCACTCTCCTTTTTACTATATGGTCAAACATCCTTTTATCAGAAACCTTCAATGTCTTTGACTTCCAGACACAGTTTAACCCTGAATAAACTCAACTAGTTTTCTCCCCTTATCATTTGAGTAGAAAACCTTACAATACTATGTTGATTGGAATTTTAAATGTAATTTCAATATTAAAAACTGCTAACATTTGGTGGGCACTAAGCATGAGCAGACAAAGTGTACTTTCCATAACCTCAAAGGATTACAGGTAAGGAAATCAGACAAAGAAAAATCTAATTAACTTGTTGAAACTGACACAGAAGAAAATGACAAACTGGGATTTGAACTAAGGTAGTCTGCCTTCAAAGCTCTAACAAGTAGCTACTGAGCTATGGCACTTCCCAAGTGCAATCTATTCCACTATTCACACTCAGAACTGGTCAAACATTCCTTTATTCTCTGAAGATCCAATCCCTCTCCCAAAGAAAATGTGCCAATTCTGATGTGTCTCATTCATCCAAAAATGTTGCTGTATTCAGCCACTGAATAAATGAAAAAACTATTCTCACGTTCGTAATAGTCATTGAGACCAAAACTAAAAGAGTAAGGCATGATCTTTGCCTTCTCTTCAAATACCCAAATCCTTCACTCTCAGCAAAAATGATAACTAATGTTTAATAGCAAGCAATGTGCCAAATGTATTACATATATTGATTCATCTAATCTACAAAGCAGTCCACATTATTATTATCCCCAGTTTACATATAAGAAAACTAAGGCACAGAAGTTACATAATGTAGTCATGGTTATACAACTAACAGTTGACAAAACCTGGATTTAAATGTCTAGCTTTGGAGTTTCAGCTCTTAACTACCTTGTTAGAATGCCATCAAAGTCACCAACTCCATTAGGCTTTAATTCCTCAGTTTCTCTATCCTATACCTAAAGCGTAGTCCACAGTAAGTCATTCATTCAATATGAGTGATAATTCAACTCACCATGTTTTGCTCCTAAATTCAACACACTTGTTCTCACCTCAGGACCTTTATAATTTCCTTTCTTTTTTTTTTTTTCTTTCTTCTTTTTTTTTGGATAGGTTTTTGCTATAGGGCACACGCGCTCGCCAGACAGACAGAGACAGACAGAGAGACAGAAAGCGAGAAATCACCCCCCAGGGGGGAATGGCCACACTGCAATCCCTTCTCCATTCTCCTCTCGGGATCTTGGGCACGCACGCACACACGCAGGGCCTTTATAATTTCCTAAAACACTCTTCCTCTAGATGTGCCTCCTCGTCATCATGTTTAAACTTAACTACAAACACACAGAGACCTTTCCTGACCACATTACTCAAAGAAGCCCTCCTACAAATCTCTCTCTCACATGAAACTGGTCTTATTTCTTTCAGAGCTATTTATCACTAGCTGAAATTATTAGTTGTCTGTTCCTCCCACTAGTGCAAGTTTCAACATGGTAGAGACATTGTCTATTTCACTCACTGTTATATCTTCACACCTACAACAGTACCCAGCATATGGTAAGCAGTGGACATTTATAGAATACCAAAAACTTATGCTAGACATTGGGATTACCAAAATGAACAGGTTTATTTTGGTTCCCACTCTCAATAAATTCCTAGTCTTTATACTTACAAATACCTCCTCCCTTTCTATATTAAAGGGAGATTAGTCCCTAACATTTTTCAATGGCTAACCTTTCTACTTGTCATATTAAACCTGTCCCAGAGATCTCCCTTTGACCTCTTCCTATCTATCCCTTGTCTCATGCACCATTTCTTTACTCTTTCTCTCTCCAATTACTTTCCACACTTGAATATCTCATTTACTCTTCCACATATGAATACCAGGGTCCTTCAACCTCAAACCCATCCCCCAACAAATTACTCCAATGCTTTCCATTTACTCCATTCTCCTACTATGACTTATTCCTCAAAAGTAATCAGTGACCTGAAAAACTGTTCTCACTTTCTTCATCAATTAACACTCCAAAGAACTTTCCATCCATTTTCCTGGATCAGAGGTGCTACCGTCTTATTATTCTCTCCTTAATTTTCTGATCTTCTTTTCCGTTTCCTTTTCTGTCTCCTTTTTCTCACACCTTTAAGCCTGATGCTCACTAGAGCTTCATCCCTTTTCTTGGTCCTTTCTGTCTCTGAATGACCTAATCTTCTCATATAACTAGACGTGTGTCTTCACATAAATAATTATATCATTCATTCCTAGCCTAAATTCACCTCTACTTTCCCCATCATCTTTAATTAGAAACATAACTGAATTCTTAATCAAATCCTCAATGAAGAGAAATTGCATTCTAAAACTTAGAAAAAACAATGTGAAATATAATAATATTTTGTAGAGAAGGTATTAGCAGGCCCAATCATATGATGGAAGGTTAGTTTCATACTTCTTGAAATACATACTTGAGCTAATTCTTCATTACTTTTCATTAGCAGTATATACAAAAAAGATGAGCCAAAGACTAAAATTCATTCATAAATTTTATGTATGTGATTAACCTGTATTAATTTTGTCTAAAACTGTTAGTATCGTCCTAGATACACAGAAACGACATTATTACACAAGTATAATTGTATAAAGCCAAAACAGGAATAGACCAGTCATAAATTATTGCGTAAGTCTGGAAACAACATACAAAATAAATTTAAATTCTTTGAGAGGGGTTTTTACAGATGTACCTACAGTGCCATGATTTAAAGACTCATGGCTCATAAGTATAATTATCAGAGCACTATCTCATGTGGTTTTCTGCTATTTTCAAATATGCTGGCAAGAAATTGACTTGTGCCCTCCCAGCTTTCAGTTCAGATAACAAAGAGAAGTTACACACATTAATATCAATATGCCGAATCTACTCATCTGCTCAATCCTGTAAACAATCATAGACACCAGAGGGCTGGTTTACCTAGAAAAAGTATGAACAAAGCTCCATCTTCACTGGTCTATCTAGATAGAGAGACAGGCCAAAGCCTACTGATAAACTACAAATACCTGACTTACAGCCTCGTCCTTTTCATTATAGGAGAAAAGGACATCTGGGTATTGCCTAATAAAGTTCACATTCAATAAATGCAGTAAACTCTTTAACTCGTTTGACAAAATCCTGTGTTTTCCTCATTCATTGCAAGAAGCTGTGGGAGAAAAAAAAAGATAAAGCCAACTCCCAATTACCACTGTCAAAGCTGGTGAAACAAGTCAGTCACCATCCTTCAGGATATGTGGCATGTAAGGGCATGGATAAGAACACAATAGTAGAACACTTAGATAAAAGGCACCCACATTTTAAGAAAAGGAAAATGAAAGTGATTTAACATCTCTATCAAGGAAACTGATGGTGTGGCCAGCCTAACTGGATGAGATCTAGCGCTACTCAATTTTCTAGTTGGGGGCAGTTGAACACTGTACCAGCTGTCATATTTTGAAGTTCAGCTTTCCCTTTTCCCCTACAAAACCCCATCTTACTCTAAAGCCTGAAAGTAACAGAGGAAATAGAACTGAAGATGAAGGGAAATGGCTGATGGGACATCAGAACACAAGAGCAGCTGCAACCACGTTTCTAGAAGACCAAAAGGCCCAGTTATCAAAGTCCAGCTCTAAAAATCTCTGACACTTAGCATATCTACATAAATCTCCACTTGCATCCCCTATTCATACAGCTCTTAAAATGAAACCTTATACTTGATTATCCAAAACTTGTCCTATAAATGACACTGCCTTTAACCTACACCGTTGCTCCCTTTATCGAAAAGCATGTATCTTTTGAGAGGTGGAAAAAGGAGGGAGATGGAATGTCACAGGGGAGGGCGGTATAGGGGCAAATAACATTGCGGCAGAGACCGTGGAAACGCCACTTCCCTCACCACTCTTGCAAATTCTCTTCGTGTGCTACCGTCTCTACCCATGCCTCGTCCTTTCTCAACAATACACACACGTGTCATAACCGACCAGCACCTTTGCTAGCATCACACACTACCCTCCGATCCTCACTAATTCCCATGTCGAACGACACATACAGAGCACAAACTGCAGCCACCGCACCCTCTTCCAGTCTAGGTAAGTGCTTCTACCACGCAGCATCAAGCGCATTAAATACGTACAGGCAGGCAGACACACACACACACACACACACACACACACACACACACACACACGCGAGGGAGGGCGCGCGCGCGACATGTGGCGCAAGGGCACCCTGGACACGCACCTGGAGGCCGGGTGTCCAGGGCTGCTGCCCCCCTGGTCCCTGTCACTGAGCGCAGCTGTGTAGATCCTCCGGTAGCGGTCGGCCAGGGCCCGGCCTGACAGCAGCAGCTGGTAGTGACCGCGGGAGTCCGTGGCGGGCAGCCCCAACCCCAGCCCCGCAGTGGCCACGGAGCCCTCGGGAACCGGCATGAACAGCGCCCCCGGTGCCGGGGAGGAAGAGATGGTGGCGGCTGGGGAGGAAG